GGTCTGGAGGGTGTTTCTCTTTCTCTGGCACACATTTTAAAGCATAGAAAAAATTAAAAACAGGAAACAAGATAACAATTCCTATCTTCACAACCCAAAATAAATATTGTGTTAACTTTATATATTCATATATAGATATATGAAATTACTTTGGGTATACTTGAAGCCTCCCGCCTATCCCCGGGGGGGCAATCACCACTATGAATGTGTGAGTATCCCTTCACACCCACCCTTTTAGAAATAATTTGATGGTGCAAAATAGAATCAGGAATAACTTTTTTAAAGAATCACTTTTTGATTATGTCATTCTAACTTGTGTAAGTGGCGTCACACCGTAGATATGGCTCCTTGTGTTTGGGGGGCTCTGTTCTTATTGACACGTGGCCCTGGCTTACCATTGCATCCTGGGAGGCACATTTATTTAGCCCGGAATGGGAAGCGTTTCCATGGATGGAGAGAATCCAGGGATGACATGCCAGGTAGAGGGAGCGGCAGCATTGACGGCTGGGGATAGGAAAGCCAGGACACACCGAGGGGCTGGTACAGTCCTGGGTGGAGGGAGCACAGGGCATGTGAGGAGGGGGCTGGGGAGGCCCCGTGCCCCAGGTGAGGAATCTGCAGATGGCATGCTGGACATCTGGATTGTGGGGATAGCCCCCTCCCCCTGAACCACCGCACCCCCCTCCCCCCTCCCCCTTCCCCTGCCCACCACACACACCATAATTCCACTTTATCCACTCTCCAAGGCCTCTCAGGAAAGGACTCTGTTACTCTTTCCATTAATTGTCTCATTAATGACCCGCTGAAGTCAAGTACCCATTGTTCTCCGGGGCCTGGGGCAGCCTCCCTGGCTTTCTCCCCCGGGGATCAGTAAACGTCTTTCCTTCCCCTGCTTTCCTTTGGCAGGCGTCCTTATCTGGTCCCCGCAGCCCTGGCAGCCAGCGCGGGCTCTTCCTCCACCCACACCCTGCACGACCCCGGCCGGCATGGCCACGGCCTCCCTCTCTCTCCTCACTGCCGGTCTGCCCTCACTTCTCCCCGTCTAAGTGCGTCTTTCCATTTTTCTTCCTTTTCCTTCTTCCCCACCCCCACCCCCTTCTGGTCCCTTCCTTTGTGTGTATTTCTCAATCTCCCTCTGTGTCTCTGTCTCTGTTTCTAGGTGTCTCTTTCCGGATATCTGTTAACTGTTTCACTGTCACCATCTGTTCCTGTCTCTGTGACTGTTGGTCACCATCTTTCTGTCTCTCCCTGCTGATCTCCAGGCTTCTCCATGGCCTGGAAGAGTGCATGTGGGTGTGTTTCTGTCTGTCTCCTTCCCTCTAGCCCTGTTTGTGTGTCTGTCTCTGTCCCTGCCTCCCTCTCTTGGCTCTCTGACTTAACCTCTCCTCACCTGCCACTCCTCCCTGTGGGCCGCTGAACCCTCCTGATTGTCTATTGTCCTGTTTCCAAACTCAGCCACCGCCTGCTCACCCACGGGGTCCCTGACACCCACACAGCTCAAATTGCCTCTCTGCGTCCCTCTGGTTAGTTCCAGCTTTCCTTGGATGGCAGCCTCAGGGACGTCAGCTCTAGGAGTAGGCGTGAGGTCACCAGAGCTGCCAGACTGGGATTCATGCATCAGTAAAGTTAAAAAAAAAAAAAAAAAAAAAAAAAAAAAAAGGAGGGGACTAACTTCTTTTTCTAAATTAGAATTTTTTTTAGAATCACCAACTTCTTATCATAAGAATATTTTAACACCAAACACACAAGTATCGATAGAAAGAGCAAACTGTAAAAAGATAGAATAGTCCTTTAAGTTAAATTAACTATTGTATGAAAACTTTTGTCACATTGCCTTTGTTTTATTTATTTTGCCCCAAATGGGTGAAATTGCTGTCAGTACCAGCCTGGGTTCTCTGATCTTGTCCAGGCCCCTCCCTGGTACCCATGGGGGATGGAGTGGCCTTTACTGAGGATAGAAAGGGCAACACTGAGACAGGACCCATAGGCTCTCGCTGTCCCCCCTGCACTGCTCTGGCCTGAGTTAACATAACTCACTGAGATGGCCTAACTAGGGGTCAGACTCCCTGCACTCCACACCATATGTATGATGGCCTTTGCACAAGCAATTTAACCCTCTGGGCTTCAGTTTCCTCATTGGTACATAGCAAAGGCCCAGGACACGGTATCTCCCCCCCTCACCCCCCCCTGTCAGTATCAGCAAAGGGCTGAGGCTTGAGCCTTGAAGGGAGAGAAGATACGTATGCCCTGACCTCTGGCCAGGCCAGCTCCTGTGTACACCACAAAATTTGTCCCCCAAATAGAGAAAATCCCTTTTTATGCACATCATGACATTGACCATCATTAGGGCAAAGTTTCACTTAATGGTTTTAGTGGATAAAGGATGTAGAAGCACTTTGAAAACTAAAAAGCACCAAGTCAGCATCTGTTACCGATGCTATCAACACTGTTATTGTTATTACCACTACTCACTGCTGGGTGGTCTTCTTGCTCACTCTCTGGTTCTCTGATCCATAGTAGAGGGGTCTGACACCAGGTGAGGCATCAATTTGTAATCTTTACTGTTCCCGTAAGAACTACCATTTCCTTGGTGTTTACTCTGCTACTTTGCATGAAGTCCTTTATTGGAAGTAGCTTTCTAGTTGTTTTAGGAAAGCAAGCTTTCTGCTTCTCTATCACCCTTGCGCCCAGAACAATGCTAGGTGCTTTTTAAATAAGTACTCAATGAAGACCTAGGAGCTGAAGCACTCTGACTAAAGTCAGATAGGAATTTCAAACTTCATTTGGCGCTTACTTACTGCCTGTGTGACATTGAGCAAGTTAAATACCCTTTCTGAACCTCCGTTTTCTCACAGGTAAACACAGATAGGAGTAACACCTACATCACCTAGGACTGTTCGGAAGTTTGAATGTAGTAACCCAAGTGTCCAGCCATGGTACCTGGTCCACAGTAGGCATTCAATAAATGTTACTCTGCGGTTGAGGAAAAGATTACCAGATACATTTAGAATGGGGCTTCTTCTGTTTATTTTAAAAACACTTTACATAGAAATATTCTCTATATATTTGACATATTTTTTTTTAAATGTTAGAGGTAACGGGGAAATAAATTATGGTGCATTCACATTGTGGAATACTACACTGCAATGAAAAAGAATGAATTGTGTCCACATGTTCACACATGGATGGATGGCCGTGCTGTTGGGTAAACAAAGCAAGCTTCAGAATAGGAGAATAACTCCTCCTCACTTTTAAAAAAATTATGTATGTATGTGTGTATGTATATATGTATGGAGAAAAGCCTAGAAGGATACACTTCTAATTTTTAAAGGGGCATAAGGACTCCTAAGGAGTTTCTTCTAATTTTTAACATTCTAGTTTCTTGTCATTACACATACACACACACACTCACACACACACCTCACGCGCAAGGAAGAAAAAAAATAACCAGAAAAAGTTCTTGAATTCCCTTTGGCCTATATTTTTCATGAGACTTTGAAAGCTGTTGAACTGAATGGGGGAGATGGTTAATTCCTCTGACAAGTGTGAGAATATCTATACCCAGCTTTTCGTTTTTAAAAGAGAAACTGAAGAAGGAAGAGAGGAAGAATGAATCGTTCCGGCATTACTCATTACTCAGCACATCCAAACAGGTAGTCTTCTCGTCCCTGCCACCACCGAAGCCGACACGCCGAGTAACAGAGAAAGTCTTTGATAAATGTCAACTGAAATAGAGCAATCAGCTGAAAGCCATTTGCTGAGCTGTCTAACGGGCCTGGGCCTGAGGTTTTCCTTTCTTCATTTATCATGATATTCGGCTTTGGCCAACATACACACAGGAGAGAAATTGTTGACATGTGGAACCCAAGTACAGAAAATCTTTCAATTTCCCCCCCGTCTGTTCACCAAATAAGTTTTTGTTTATTTAAAGACTACAGAGGATTTGGCTGTTAAGAACCAAATGCCTTTGGAGTGGAATTACAACATAATTTATCATTTCCTCTGTTTATTAAAAAATCCTGCATCTTTGAGAAGCACATTTGCAGTGAGTGGGGGATTTCGGCCACTCACAAAAGACTGTTGCAAAGCCCTTGCTATGCGGCTTACCCCAAAAAAGGCTTCCCGATAGCTCTTTCCGACCCTGTTCTTCCTTGAGTGGACCTCTAGTTGTGGGATGGCTACTTGGGGCTAGAGAACAGGGTGTGACAGAAGTCAGGTAAGCAGGGCAGGACATGAGTCAGCTTCTTTCACCTTTGACCTGATGCCGACCTTGTGCTCCACCAGGGCAAGCAGAGGGCAAAGGGACACCAAGGAGTCAGACAGTGGAGAAGCTGACGCTGCTCGGAGTGTGGCTGGTCCCTGCTGCTGCCAAAGTGGTGCCCTTCTAAAGACAGACATCTGACAGAACTGGGATGAACTTCCTACCTCCCACCCGACATTAAAATAGCAGGTCAGTTACTCAAAGCTGGGTGCCGCATCGAGTCCATTATTGTCTTCCCAGCACATGGCGCTGTACCTGACACACAACTGATGGGCATGTTTCAGTGGCTGAGCATCGACCTATAAACCAGGAGATCACGGTTCGATTCCCAGTTGGAGCACATGCCTGGGTTTCAGGCTTGATCCCCAATGAGGGGCGTGTAGGAGGCAACCAATCAATGGTTCTCTCTAATCATTGATGTTTATCTCTCTCTCTCCCTCTCCCTTCCTCTATGAAATCAATAAAAAAATATTTTTAAAATATTACCTAGAACTGTATTTAGCTCATCATGGATATATTATGAATGAATGAATGAATGAATGAATGAATAAACAAGTGAACGATTAAAAGAAAAATTATTGGGGAGGGGAAAACTAACTTAATCCAGTACCCAAAGATGAGCCACAAAAAATCGCTTGTCTGTCACTAACAGGCAGACCCTGGGGGAAAGGTACCTCATACTAAATAAATATTGAGGACAGAACACGGTGATGGAATGAAAGTGTTAAGAGTGGGAAGGAAGGAAAAGAAGCCAGCATTTGTTGTGCAAGTATTACATGCAATTAATTCACAACACATTTGAGTGCCTATTGGTTCCAGGCATTATGTCAAATCCTGAAGATACACAGACTGATTATCAAAGAGAATAGCTAAGGTTCAGGTGAGAACAATAGTGCTGTGCGAGCCAATACCAGGGGCCCTCAGCTGGGGGAAAGAAGGCTTCCAAGGAAGTGCCAGCCCCGCTGAGAAGGAAGCAGGCATAGGAGCGGCCGGTGAGGAGTGGGGAAAAGGTCGGGGAGAGTAAAGAGCATGTGTGAGGGAGAAGTATTGTCTGGCTGCTTTACACACACCAGCTCCTTAGAAATCATTCTTCCACACGGACTCTATCATTTACTTTAAGGTTATTATTCTCTCAATTTAATTTGATTTTATTACTTGGTGAAAATAGGCCTCTAGCAAAAGTATCCAGTCACAAGTGAAGGCCCACATCAGACCAAGCAAAACCGAAATTTGGGGACAGGGCTGTGCTAATTATTTGGGAAGGAGGCTCTGAGATGAGGACTAGTCAGCGGTCAGCCTGCCGGTGGCCCTGGTCTCTAGGCAGCAGCAGACATTCTCCAAAGGGCCACCCCTGCCAGAAGGCCCAGAGCAGAACGGGGCGACGGGCTGGAGGGAGAGACTGGACAAGCCTGGTGTCCCTCTGGAAGCTGGGCCTCACAAGGACTGATGACACAGGGTGTCGGCCTTCCGTGTGGACGGGTACAGAGATGCCAATCTGCCACCAGGTGGGTCACTGGAAACTGGCCCCGTGGACGTTCATCCGAGGAGTTCTTTGGTCTTCACTGCCAGATGCTTGTCCAGCTCTGCCACGGTGTCGTCGGCCATCTGGCTGATCTGCAAAAACACGAAATGGGACAGCCTGGTCACAGGGGCGGGGAGAAACATTCCAGAACTCTGATAAGGTTATCTGGGAAATAATAATGGTGACATAAGCTCATGTCCATTGAGTCCCAGCCAGGCACTCTACTAAAACTTGATGCACACACCCTTACTGATTCCTAACAGGTACCCCATTATTACCCCCACTTCACAGGTGAGGGAACTGAGGCAGTTAGATAACCTGCTCAGGATACACAACTATTGATAGAAAGTAGCAATGACAAAAGTGAATCCTGGGTAGTCTGATTCCAAATTCTTAACTAATTTCATAGGGAACAGAGAAGCCAGTCATATCTGTCCCTTAAGGAACTTCTAGAATTTCCTGCACTCGGACATTCTACTATATAAAGCCCTCACACTAGTTGATAAGAAGAATATTAAGATCCCAATAGTTAAGCAGAAAAACGTCTTGAAAAAAGATGAAGTACATCTGGTTAACAAACATGGAAAATTCAATAGACACTGAAGAAATGGAAATTCAAACAAGACATAATTCAGTCATCAGAGTTAACAAAATTTGATGTTGTGGTTTTTAATTACAATATTCAATGCCAAGAAGCTATGGTGAAATGGATAAGGTCACATATCATCAATAGGGACTCAAATTGATGCAAATGTTCATACCATTTTTAACCCCAAATTCTCTCAATGGGAAAATTACCACATGAGTAGGATCTAAAAAAAGTTCTTTAAACAAAGATATTTATCTAACTTTGTTTTTAATAATGAAAAATCAGAAAATCCAAAGTGAAAGAATGGGTTAGTTGGATACATATAAAAATTCAAAAGGGCTAAGCCCTGGCTGGTTTGCTCAGAGGTTAAGAGCGCAGACCCAGGGACCATAAGGTCTTGGGTTCCATTCTGGTCAAGGGCATGTACCTGGGTTGCAGGTTCCTTACCTGGCCCTGGTCAGGGAATGTGCAGGAGGCAATGAATCAATGTATCTCTCTCACATCGATGCTTCTCTCTCTCCCCTCCATCTCCTGCCTTCCTTCCACTCTCTAAAAAAAAAAATCAATGGGAAAAAAATGTCCTCGGGTAAGGATGAACAACAACAAAAACAGGTTAAGAGGATCCATTTCTTATAAGAGGGTATAAATACGAATAAGATTCCAGTATATATTTCTGAAACATATGAATTTTAACTATTTTATAACAAGCATGGATTGCTTTTGTAATCATGAAAAAAGAATGCTTAAAGATATTACTTACAATATCATAGAAACATACTTATGTTACCCCTGAATTAAAGAAAAACCAGGATATGAAATTGTGTATATGTATACAAAGCAGAAACAATCTCAAATGTTCAAAATTATGCATATTTTTTTTAATTGGGAGGAAAGCTGTCAAAATATTAATAGTGATTATCTTCCAGTGATGGGAAGATAGCTGATATATTATTCATGTGGCATCTGTCACGTCCCCAGCACTGGCAAGTGCTCGGAAGTAGTTACTAAATGAATAATTATTAAAGTTCTCTGTGCTTTTCTGTATTTTCTGCAATAAACCCATCCTCCCTCAGAATGAAAAACACAGCACAATTTGGTAGGTGCTGCAGTCTCCCTCCCGTGTCTTAAAGGGACCTACAGCAGAAAGCCTCGGCAGGAAGCTTTGAGGGGTACACAGTGCTCAGGATCTGTGTTCAGAAGCACACTGGCTGTTTGACATCTTTATTTGCAGACCACAGGCCTTGGCCAGGAACTGCAAAATAAATGCACTGGAAAGGGTAGAAACTAAAAAGGATTTGGAGCAATGGGCCCCAGGCACAGCCAGCCAGGCTCTCACCATAGCAACAACTGCACATTTTTTAGCTGAAAAGCAAAGCTCCTGGGGCTGCTGGGAGAGCTCAGAAAGGCTGCCTGGTCCCTCCTCACTCGGGTGCTGCAAACCCTGGAAATGCTTCTTCTGTCCCGACCTGAGCAGCTTGCCTTGCATGGGGCATGGCGTGGTGCCCAGCAGCACGCCAGCACGTGCAGGCTGGCAGCCCCGGGCAGCCAGGAACAGCGCTGCAAGCCTTCTCTGGAAAATGGCGTTTGGGGACAGAGATGGAGACTGGGGGGAAAGAGTACTTAGGGGGACGATGTGATAATGTGGGGTTAAATTCTCAGCACGGTGACCATGCACACATCCTTTCCCCCGTTTGAGTTTGTTTCCTCATCTATTAAATGGGGTGCTGGTCCCTTCCCTAGAGCGTAGTTGGGAGGGTTAAAGTCATGAATATGCAAGCATGTTTTAAATTGGTTATTTGCTATGCAAATGCTGCTTGTGTTACTCTGATTTGTACTGTCACTTCCTGACATCTTTTCAAATTAATTAATTAATGAAAATATTTACTAACTTTCTACTACATTATAGGCACAGAGCGCCCTTAGGGACAGTCTGCCTGCAAGTTCATCTCCTCCATCTCCATCAGACTTCCTAAAATAATGAGGATTAACAACAACGACAAGGATACCAACACTTCCCACTCACTACATGCCTGACTATGGACTAAAAAGTTGACACGTTATTTCACATAATCTTCAAAACGTATGAAATACCATTCTCATCTCCCTTGAATGTATTATGAAAATTATTTCACCTGACGATTGCATAGTAGTTTAAAGTATACAAAAGTGTTTTGTTCTCTGTTACTTCATTCAAATCTAACAACCTCACATAACCTAAGGCAGGTGGCACAGGTATTATTCCTATTTACAGAAGACTAAACCAAGGCATAAAATGTTAACCCGAGCTGAATCACATCAAGTCGGTAATGAGACTGAGCCAAGAACTCAGCCCCCCGCAGAGACCACTGTCCCTGGCCTAGTCCTGCCTCCTTCCAGGCACAACCGTTAGTCTCATAAAACAGTCAATCCCAGTCCCGGGTGAGGAGAGAGACATGGGAGAGCAAACAGGCAGAGAATTACTGAGGACAAGCAACGGTACTCGCCACTTTTAAGCAGCTGTGGGATTTGGTCCTCTTAACCATCCCGTGAGAGCTTACTGCTCCCACTTACAGTGAGGAACCAGAGGCTCAGAAAGGCGAAGCCACGTGCTGGCCTGGAGCTGACAAGCCCAAGAGCCGTTGTGACTGCACAGCCGGAGCCCTTTCCATTCCGTGTGCTGCCTCACGAAGATTATACCACCATCAGCATCAGCAGCATCACCATCACCATCACATCTGCTCCCTACAAGTTCAGGAAAATGCAAGGTAGAGAGGAAGAGGGGAGGCAGGGGCACACAGTACATCGGGGGCAGGCTCCCTGAGGCCTGGGTGCCACTGGGAGCGGCTCCCACCGCCTCACTCAGTCCCGCCTGCTGCCCGTCTGCTAGGAGCCTTTCCTTCCTTCAGTCCCACTAGCACCCAGCGTCACTTCAGAGCAGTTCCGTTTCTCAGAAAAAGGCAGCAGTGAAAGGATCTTGGCCAGATTTACTGGTGGTTTCTGCCAAGTGCTTTAATGTTCAGCAGGCCCATTTACAGCAAACTGCAGCGAAGGTGAAACAGCAGGCTGACAGATGTCAGAGCCCGGCTGGGAGACCCTGGGCCTTCTTCAGCAGAGCTGGCCTGAGCTGGGGGCAGGGATGGAGGGGCAGCATTGGGGGAGGGGGGAATGGGTGGAGGGGACATGACTACAGGGAAAGAACCCACCATAGAATCATTTCCTTCTTAAAGACCGAAGACAAAACATTTTTATGATACAATTTTGAGAAATATGACCTCAGAAGACATTTGGAAATTTTTTTAAAAATTAAGAAAATCTCAAAGTATAAAATTAAAATTGTTTATAATCTCATCACCTGAAATAACTACCATTAGCATTTAAGTGGATAAACTGCCAATCTTTTTATGTACATGAAACTCTTCATTATAAAAACAAAATATTATAATACTGTTATGTAATCTACCTTCAAAAAATAAATTCCAAAAACACATCTGTAAAATATTTTTATAATTGTTGCTATAGTAGATTCCAGTTAAGGATGTAAAACAACTTATTTTCCCACTGTTAGAAATTTAGACAGTTTCCAGTTTACATAATCAACACACACTTTAATAGATAAGATTTTTGGGCATGTGATAGGGGGTAGGGGAGGCTGGGGGAAGATCAATGGGGGAAAAAAGAGATATATGTACTACTATATGTAATACTTTACACAACAACAACAAACAAGATAAGATTTTTGACAATTTTAGATAAATTCCCAAGTCAGTGAATCAGAAATGTATGGATTTTGGTATAGACTGCCATACAATCCTCTAGAAAAACTGTATGGATTTACACAAAAAATAACGTAATCTTTCCAATGGAGTGTGGAAGTAAAAGCAACATTCCTAACATAAGCAACATTTTAAGCTCACATTAAAAATTCTAGGTTCAAATATTAGGGATCAGAAAAGACAAAAAAAAAAAAATTAAATATACATATTCTAAAAACCCATGAGTGACTTAGGCACTGTGTACCAAGAACCTTAAAACATACATTCCCTTTGCACTGTAATCCCACACTTGGGACTGTATCCTACGGAAATCATCGCAACAAAGATGTGTGTATAAAAATATGCACTGCAACCTTACTTAAAATAACAAAAACGTTTAAACAAACTAAATGTCCAACAACAGGGCTTATGGAAATGAATTATGGTATGACCACAGACTGTTTAGCAACCATTAGAAATGTCTGTTTATAAAAAGATTTTTAAGACACAAGAAAATGCTAATGGTTTTAATGCCAAACAGAAAATAAAAAGCTGTATACAAATTGTATGTACAGTACATGTTCTCAATCATGTTTAAAACTATGTAGTTTAAAAATGGGGGAGGAGGAGAGAAATTCCAAAATATTAAGAGCAGTTGTTCCTGCAATGTGGGATTTATGGGTGAATTTTTCCCCATGTTTAAAAGCAGTCTTCTGAACACTCTGCATTTTCTACAATACTTTGATAATCAGGAACAAAGTAAACAAATATATTTTTAAAACTACCTGATAAAGCAACTATCAGTTCCCGCCCGTTTAACTTAAATAAAAGCACACACGAAAAACTGAAGATTGGTGCCTTCTGTTAGGAAAAAAACAAAATGAAGTATGTATAAAATTGTCTCCTGTTTTCTTATTGACTTTAAATAAGTTTTTATCAATAATGGCAAGAACTAATATTTAATTGATAATATATTAGAAATAAAAATTGTGAAATAAATATATAGTAGGATCTTTTTTCGTGTAATATTACATAAATGCTTACAGCGATAATTTTAATGTTAATAATGGTCACCTCTTGGTGATGAAATTTCACTTCTTAATTTTAAAAAAATTTACACGAAACATGGATTGGTTTAGTATCAGAAAAAATGAATAAAGTTACTTGCACTTTGAAAAATAATGTACAGTAACAAGCACTGAATAAAATATCTAATCTGAAGAGGAAGGTGAGAAGCCACGTGCCAAGGACTGAAGGCTTCCAGCAAGGTCTTTGTCAAGCGGGTTTCATCAGGAGAGCTGGTTATCCATCATTCTCTTTTGCAAGGAGCACGGGCTCTGGTCCTGAGGCAGAGGCCCAGATTTGCTGAGTGAAGACTTATTACCAGGAAGCAACCACGGGGCCAAGTGTCAGCTGTCGAGATGAAAGCCCGGGGAGACGACAAGGAGCTGGCTCTGTGGGGCCAGGCCTGGCTCTCCCAGGACTGATCAGGGCTCAGGGAGGCAGCTAGCTCTGAACTGTCAGCTGATACAGGGAGAGGGGGAGTCCAGGGATGGCAAGAAGGGAGTTTGAGGGTCTGGGTGTCAGGTAATGGTGCTTCTAGCAGCCCCAGGGCCACCCTCAGGGCAAGAATTACAAATCCCTTGTTACAGAAGAAAACCAGGAGGAGCCTGTTACTTCCCCAAGGCCACAGGACACCAACTGCAGAACAATCCCTTTTAAACTCAGGTGCCCTGCCACACCTTGTCTGCTTTTGCAGAATCACCTAGGGAACTTTTTAAAAATACACATTCCTGGGAAGACCTGCTGAATCAGAAAATTCAGGAGCAGGGCCCAAAAATTCACCTAAAATTCTCCCCTGGGTGACCGTCTGGCCTGGCCTATGACTAGCTGGCCCAGGAGAAGGGGAGCAGGGAGTCCATGTATGGCCTCCTCCAGGTATCCTGCCTGCCACCCCTTCCCTCTTGGTCCGAATCCTGCTCAAAAGCTTACTAACTAATGCTTTTATTGTGGTCCAGGTGGCTTTGGGTGAGCACTTTATAGTACACTCAACATTATAAATTCTATCTCCTAAATACTGGTAAGTTCATCTTCCTATCTTAATTCCACTTGTACCACACAGGTCAAGCCACTGTCATATCCTGGTTAGATTTCTTTCTTTCTTTAATATATTTTTATTGATTTCATAGAGGAAGGGAGAGGGACAGAGAGATAGAAACTTCCATGATGAGAATCATTGATTGGCTGCCCCCTGTACGCCTACTAGGTACTGAGCCAGCAGCCTAGGCATGTGCCCTTAGACCAGAATGGAACCTGGGCCCCTTTAGTCCGCAGGCTGATGCTCTATCCACTGACCCAAACCAGCCAGGGCAGATTTCTTTCTTTTTTTTTATTTTTACCTTTATGACTGAAAGTATTATATATGTTCCCCTTTTTTTCCAGTGACAGGTGTAAGTGCCACCACTAGGCACACCAAGAACACTGTTAAGTTCTCACTTCTCAGCACCCAGACAACCAAACTGGGACAAGAGAGCAACAATTTATATAGGCTCTGTAGTCAGTCTACCTGTCTTTGGATTCCATTTCTATCTTTTACCAGCAGTATGACTTTGGGCAAGCCATTCATTCAGCTTCCTTGGACCTGTTTCCTTGCTGTCTACCCCTCACAGCTTTGTAGTGACAAGGATAAATGAAGTGATGGAAAGTGTTTGGCAGCCTGGCACGCAGTGAAAGGTCAGCAGATCTCCTCCTCCCTATTCCCAGGGCCCAGCACAGGGCAAGGCCTAGGACAGAGATCCAGTCAACGAAAATCACATCAATGAAGGACCAGGATGCTGCATTTTATTTTCATTTTCCTCACGTTAGACATGAACAAGTGAATGCCTGGATCACATACAGAGGCGCTACATCTGCTGGGAACAGTACCTGCTTTTCTATGAGTCGAATGGTGTCCTCCGAGGTCTTGTCCTTTGATTTCTTCAGCTTATTCATTGCGTTGGTACGAACCTTCCGTAAAGAGTCTTTGGCCTTGTTGGTGTTCTGTTTGGCAAGTTTTGCCAGCATTTCCCTGTGCTCCCTGGTTACTCTGATAAAAGAGAAAAATGTAACATCGCACTGTCTGTTAGCTCAACAGTTTGTAACCTCCCTCTCCGACGGCGGATGAGCTTCACATCCTGGCACACCCATGGGGATGCTCAGGGTCAGGTAAAGCTCGCTGAGAAGAGCCAGTAAGAGTTCTGCTTAAAAGCATGAGCCAAGGAGTCTAAGAATCTGAGGGGCAAATCCTAGCCATGCCACTTACAAGAGGTGTAGGACTTATTCTCCTCAGCGTTCCTGTCTTTATACGGGGACTTGTCAGTGCCTGTTTTAGGCAGTGAGGTGAAGATCACGAGATGATGCCTGTACAGTGTTGGCTCCTGACCTGGGCACATTTTAACTGTTCAATAAAAGGAAGCAACAGTTGGCGATAACTCCATCCCCTTCTCTCCCACTAAAGAAAGCGATGCGCCCTAACTGGTTTGGCTCAGTGGATAGAACATAGGCCTGCGGACTGAGGAGTCCCAGGTTCAATTCCGGTCAGGGGCATGTACCTTGGTTGCGGGCACATCCCCAATGGGAGGTGTGCAGGAGTCAGCTGATCGATGTTTCTCTCTCATTGATGTTTCTAACTCTCTATCCCTCTCCCTTCCTCTCTGTAAAAAAAAAAATCAATAAAATATTTTTTTAAAAGAAAGCGATGCAAATGAGTAATGATACTACAGAAACAGCATCATCTCTAAATCTCTAATTCACCCAGAACAAACAAGTAGCAATCTTCAGAATCTTGACTATTATAGCAAATGACTTGTGAGTCACCTCAAAACTCACCGAGAAACAACGAGGGTCCCAACGTAACATAAGAGAACTAACGCACCAGTCAGCTTCCATAAGGACCCAGGAGAGCGTCTGGTGTGTTATAAATGCTAATGAATGTTAGTTATGTTTACTGCCAACATCTCATCATAACAACAAGGAGCACATGGAGGGCCTACTATAAACCACCAGGACAGTCACTTTATATGGTGATCCTTACAACAACTCTATGAGGCAATTATTATTAATCCTGTTACATTAATCATCGCAACATCCCAGCAGCAGAGTAAGCTGTCATGTTTGTCCTGCCTTCATGTCTTTGTCATGTACAGATCAAGGGCCCAATACCTATCAAAACCAGTGCTGGGCCCTGAGGACAAAATGATGAACATTTTGTCTTGCTCCTAAGGAGCTTAGCTGGGGAGAGAGGTCAATAGTGAGAAATTAACAACATGGTGTGGGAAGTGCTGTGGACAGGGGCATGGGAAAGCATCAAGTGTTACAGCCCAAAAGAAACTAACTTAAAAGCTTCTGTCCTTGTTAAGGGAAGACCTTCCTAGAGAAATAATATATTAATGTAGTGGTCGTGACATCTTTTCACTAGCATTCTGGTTCCTACTCCTTGCGTTTCTCCAGCCACTCAGAGTGGCTGTACAACTTGCTTTGGCCAATGAAATGTGAGCGAGATTATGGGCATCACCACAGGGCAGAAGCTTTAAGAGCCAGGGTGTGTTCCACCACATTAGCTTCTGCTGGCCACAATACAGGGAGGGCCTTGTAAGATCATGAACTCCATTTTACAGATTAAAAAATGAGACCCAAAGGAATGTTAAATATCTTACACAAAACCAAACCGTCCATCCTGTCTCAGAAGTCAATGGTCTTAGTATGACAAAATTCCTCTGCCCTCTGGGCCCTGAAGTGGACATCCGTGGCATATGGTTCCTGACCCTCAAATCAATGCAGTTCTTGCTCAGTAAGGACAATCCCAAGTTCTGGATACATGCTCCGTGGGAAACAGTGGCAAGCATGTGGTAAAGACTTAGTGGTATCTACCTGGTATTTTTTCCCTGATGGAATGAGAAGAAAACTGAAAAATTTTTAAGAAAGATACACTACAAAGTAGACAGCTGTGTTATAAAGAAATCCTTCTGGATTCAGCTAATTGAAGGTAGTCTCAAAATAAAAATGATTCTGATTACTACATTAAGCCCCTCTATGACAGATGAGTACTTTAAGTGTATTACCTTACCAATCCTCACAACAGTTCTTAGAACTAGATTCTCATACCCCCATCCTGTCCGGAGGAAACTGAGGTGCAGAGGTTGAGTGACTTGCCGGTAGGCTTGAGTGGCAGAACTGGGACTCAAACCCAGGTCTTTCTGGCCCTTATTCCCACTGCTCCATGCTGCCCCCTTTGTACTCTATTTCACATAAATTCGGCACTGCTGCCATGACTCTGCTCCCAGGCAGAAAGCTTTTCAAAGACAGTAATATGAAGCTTGGGACTGAAAAGGACAAAACCACCATGTCAGGAGTTTAGGGATTTGGATCAGATCTTGTTACTTTTATGGTTTTTAATTCATTGAACGAAAATCATGATGACATGTTTAGGTCTCTTTTTTGTTCTGCCAAAGCATATGTCGGTATAAGGAAGGAACAGGAAAATTAAAACTTGATCCACTGATTCAAAAAACTTAATCCTGCTGAAATACAAGGAGGGCAGAAAATAAATGAATCTAAGTAGCCTGTAAGAAACCTCTCAAACTTCCCTAACAATAAGTATTTCAATTGTATATTTCATATATAATTTGAAATAGGTATCCTACTGCTTAGAAAATCTTTAATAAAAAAATGTATTTAATCAACTTCCTCTTCACTATATTGTTTTATTTATTTTACATGAAGGGGAAAATACCATACATTAAAAAATATATAAATTGGGGCTCAAAAAATCTTAAGAGCAAAAGGCAATATAAAGAAAACAAAATCACAATATATGTAATTTAGCCTTACTAAGTGCCTTTTTTACTTATTAATATAAATGTGACATTACCACACTGTTAACACCAGTTTCCACACAATAGTATCCAATTATTGACACTGGAAAAAATATTTCAGTTTTAGGATGCAAATAATATAAGGAAATGGAGAAGGGAGCTCAGTGAGGAGGGGGAAAAGGGAAGGAAGAAGAGGGGGCACCCCATGGGCAGGGCTGAGCTTGGGGTGTTGAGCTGGAAGGTATCTAAAATACAAGGTCAGAGGCAGTGAGGGTGATGGAAAGGCAGTGGCTCTGAAGTCAGACAGATCTGTTTCATTCCCATTATCTATCACCCAGAAGCTGACTATACTTGGGCCAGCGACTCACTTCTCTCTGAGCCTCAGTTTCCTCATTTCTAAGGTGGAAATAGTAAAAACACCTTAATATCTTAAGGTGACTGGGAGAGCAATCACATGTATAAAGCACCACTAAAGAAAGCAGCATATAGTAGCCTTGAGTAAATGATAGCATTTATGAATGTTTTAATCAAACACACTTAATTACTTTCTCATGAAACGAGGGCACATCTGTTTTAGAAAAGAAACATGCTATATTATGGAAATATGTTAATGCCTTTCCAAACCAGTGATTAATACATCCGATCGTCTGCATCTCACATTCGTGGATTCTGAGTACACCCTGGTTTGTATTCCAGGCTCCTGAACTCAGCCAGTTCATCCGAGCAGCCTCTCTGCGCAGGGCATGCGCTGGTTCAAGCACCAGCAGAGCCCCCTGTGCTCCGTGCCAGACCTGGGCCAGGCCCAGGAGCTCCGGAGCAGAGGCAGGCCGGGCCACCTCCTCGGAGGCTCAGTGCAGTGGTGGGGACAACTGTCAACCACTACTGAGAAAGAGGATGACTGCTGCTGGGTCAGAGGGACGGACCTTCTGTGGGGGGAGCATGCATACTGTCTGGAGATTTGGAAAATGCCCAGGAGATTCAGAGTAATTTGTCAGCTGCAGAAGAAAGAAGAGGGCATTTCAGGCAGAAGCACAGGGAGAAATATAATGGCAGGAGGGCACGAGACTTCAAATGGTGCAATCGGAGTCAAATTTGTTCTGGAGGCCAAAGCTTTTAAGTTTTTTAGCCATAAAACTCTGGTTTCAAAGAAAATCACGGCATATAGAACTGATAAAAAGAAAGCTATTCCAGTTACTGAGGGAAAAGGCACCAGGGGAGGGTGTGGCCTAGAAGCTTAGCTCCACCCTGACTGCCCTGCATGTCTGGGCCCCCACTTTCTGGCCGACTAACCTTAAGCAAGCTATTTAAACTCTGAGGTGATTAAAAGCATTTTGATAGATTTTTTTTTTCTTTTTCTTTCTTTCTTTTTTTTTTTTTTTAAGAGAGAAAGGGAGAGGGACAGAGATACATCGATGTGAAAGTGAAACATCAATTTGCTGCCTCCTGCATGCCCCCTACTGGGGATGGAGCCCACAATGTAGGCATGTGCCCTGACAGGAAACCACGGGCAATCTTTCAGTGCATAGGATGATGCCCAACCAATGGAGCCATACCAGCCAGGGCTAAACTCTCTGAATTCTGATGTCTCATCTGGAAATAGAAATTGAAAACAAATAAACAAAAACAAACCTACCGTTCAGAGTTATTGTGAGAATTCGATGAGATAATACATGGAACATATACACTACAAGGCTTGGTGGAGAATAAACAATCAGAAACTGTTGGCTGCCTTTGTTGCAATTGTTGTTTATGTTTTGGCAACCATTGAGGCATCTTCAAATAATGAAGAGTTTCCTCATGAAAGTTTTTATCAACAGAAAAAGGGTAGGGCAAACAATCTATGCTTCAGTAAGATGACTTTTTGAGATCTGACTAGTAATTTAACATCTCATGCACATTTTAAAATAAAATGTTCCCAGCATATAGCCGTGAAATTTTTTTCTTCAGTATTCATTCATTCAGTTTACAGTATCATTCTACAGCTATTTACTGGGCACCTATCATGTGCTAGCCACTGTGTCAGACACTAAGGATATAGCATCAAACACATTTGTGCTTAGCCTTAGCCGGTTTGGCTCAATGGATAGGGCATGGACTGAAGGGCGCCAGGTTCAGTTCCAGTCAAAGGCACAGGCCCAGGTTGTGGGCTCGATCCCCAGTAGGGGACATGCAGGAGGTAGCCAATCAATGATACTCTCTCATCATTGATATTTCTATCTCTCTCCCTCTCCTT